AGAATTTGCAAATTCAAAGGCTCTCTCTAAGAGGAATCAGCCTCAAGACACCAAATTCCTCCTCCGTAACAATTCCTAAAGAGAACAAAATAAAGAAGCAAAGTGTTAAGATCTTATAAGAATGAAGAAGCTCATCAGGAATCACATAAAAACAAATATAGAAAACAACAAAAGAAATAAATAGAAACGAATTACCAAGTCAATGAAGGCCAAAATGAAGACAAAACAAAAAACAATATATTTCACTTTGGCCAAAGCAATCGGTAGTCAGAACAGAGTGAAAATCGGATCAGACGATTCTCATGCTCTAAGAAACGAGAAAAACATTTCGTCTCAGGAATTTAGAAGATCACACCCAAAAATCCCAAGGAAGATAACAAAGAGAAACCAAATGAATAGTACAGTACTTAGCCGAAACTGAAATTTGCTATCTACCAAGCGAATCAAACAGCACTGGAATAAAAAATCACCGGAGAAAAGAGGCAGTTCTTCAAAAAATCGTTCGGATCAGCTTCCGCTTTCACTTCTTCGTCTTCTTCGCATATTTCTCATTTCATCTTCTTTCTCTGCAGATCTCTCTCTCTCTCTACAGGCGTTTCTACTCTGTACCTGCTTTGCTTTTTACGTTGTGAAGAATTGTTTAGGTATGGTGGACTTAGAGAGAGAAGCTATGAAATGACGAAATCACCCTCCTCTACAGTTTCCAAATATGTTCTTATTCGAATTTTTTAATAATTCGCAGTTGCGTGACTTTGCGTCCTCGGGATCGCCTTCCTTGCCAAGAGATCTGCAATTAAAAAATACAAAAACTTATGGCCTTATGGGACTTTTCAATGTCTGAAATAAAATCACACAGGATTTTATTTAATTTCTTTAATCTGTTTGTGCCGTCAGAAAAAAAAAGATTCGATCTGATACTTTACATTTCCCCATGCAAGTTTTTTTTATCAGTTGGTTCTTTTCTAGTAGTATGTTCTAATTTTCTTTAACAATGCATTTATGTTTGTAAGACTATAGATCTAAATAACAGTAAGTATGTTCAGTTTCATACTCCAAACTTTTGTAATAGCAACAGCTATTCAGTTTCTTAGTCCAATTTTTTTTTATAAAAAAGAGATAAAAGATCCAAAAATAATAATTACACATTCTTCTTCTTCCCGTTATACAAAGATAAACACCTGGTTTACCCAAAAAAAGAGGATAAACACTGACTGAGATTCATTTAGATTTATCACTGTTGTATTGAATAAGCAATAATAATGATATAT